TACTTTTGCAAAGGAGTTGTAATGGATTCCTAAAACAGTCACTGTAACAGGCAGGTGTTAATGTCATGCCCATAAGCCATCCGAGGTGGTGTGCAGGTATTTAGAGATCAGCTGTGTCTGCTCTGATTCCACATGTTCCTCAGAGTTGTAGAGAGAGCAAAACCACAACAGTGCCCAGGGCAGGATCCTACCCAGGGAGCATTGTAGAGCAGACAGCAACTTCAGAAGCTAAATGAAAGCAAAATTAAACAGCATTCTGAATTGGAAGGGCATGAAAAACCTCCTATGGCTGTCAGTAAGGGAGAAAATGGGGCAAAATGAGATGAAAATGCCTTTTCTGGAGAAAACATACCAGTTTTACAGACAGAGAAAGTCAGAGAGAGAATTATAACTCTAACATATTATAGCTCACTCAAAAACTGGAATACCTCTACCAAGAACATATTTAGGTAAAGGCATCAGTCCTGAGGGGAAGAGCATTCCTGAGTATAACAGCAGACAAAGGTGCTGACTGGCTGCATTGCCCAAGCAGCGGACAACCCATCTGCTGAGATTCTGCAGAAAGCCTTTGCCCTCAAAACCACTGAGGACAGCAGAAACTCTTGCACAGATGAAAAAAAGAAAATGAAACAATTCCTGCCTATTTGGCTGGGATATGAAACATTCACAGAACATGGCCAGTCTGGAGAGAATTTAAATAATCCATAAGGGACCCACTAGTATTTGTAGGCAAAATGAAGGAATCAGAACAGTTATAGACTGAGGTTGAATCGATCTTAAAACACACATGGCAAACAGCAGTTTCATTGCAGACTCCTACTAAAGCAGCCAGTGAGTTGTGATTGCAGTGTGATACCTGCACGGGAGGGACAGAAGGTTCAAAGAGAAAGCACAGCTCCCACTGCTGGGGTGTTTTTAGTGTGGGAAACAGCCTCAAGCTACTAATAGTTATTAGTCCTATGGCAAAGCCTGTAGAAATGGCAGGAGACTGAAGTTATAGCAACCTACAGGCAACTGCAGAAAGTTCAACACCACTTTACAATGGCAACAAAAAGGATTTTCTAGACTTTCCAGGTGAGTATTCACAGGTTAATAGTATAGAATCTCTAAACTGTTTAATTTGGAGGAAATAGGTGAAGTATTATTTTACTCCATTTCTTTATAAGTGGAAGGAATAGGACTGAAAATGGAGCTACAGAGTAATTTTGCAACAGGATTATCACGGACTACTTAAAAAGGTGAATTTGAGGAAAACCTCAAGACTTTTAAAGACCCTTACTGTAGAACTGCTGATTTCCCTGGGTGGTAGTAGTGAGAAAAGAACTTAAAATGACAAGCAATACATGCTACTCCTCTCAGCCATGTGGTGATAGGGTCACGCTGCACTCGGTGGAAAACGGCTGGGAGACATTTGGCAGTACTGACAAAGCACGAAGTGTCTGCAGGCTACACAATATTATAACTCCAACCCAAACCAGAAATAAACTAACCTCCTGTATGAGGCAGTGGAGGTATTTCAGGATGGCAGTAAAAGGCAGTAAAGCAGAAATTTTGCTTCAGAGGACAGCAATCCCTATATTTTGCAGAGCACAAAAAGTCCCTGTGGAGCCTGTGATCTGGAAACTGTTCCAGCTGCTGCTGAAGCCAGAAGAGAGGTTACACACCCCAGCTGCTTATCACCCCCTCTTTACCACTCTCCCATTCCTCTCCTTCCCTCCCTGTTGTTCTGCCTTTTCCACTGCTCTCTACTTAATCCAGTTCAGTAAAACAAGCCAGTTAGGAAAAATGAAAAAACAATCCCACAGTTAATAAAGCAAAGAGCAGCACCTCTCTAAAGAGGGAAGGATGGGAAGGCAGGTGATTAAGCAGTATGTAAACACAATCCACTGCCTTATGCAGATGTATCCATGGCCACTTATTGTGCCACCTGCCAGTAATTAAGAATGATTGGATTATTTTGCAGAACCAGGCTGAGGACAGCCAAGTATTTGTCAGACAGCTCAGCCGTTAGAACTAAGAGGTGGCATTTGCTTGTAGCTGGGGCAGGGTGGATGACAAATAGGCACATCACCCAAAATATCTGACCATCTCCAGCAGTGCACAAAAGCGGGTACTGTCCTTCCAAATGAGCTGTAGCAAATGGATCACCTTGCTCACAGTCGTAAGGAAACAGAATAGGACTGTCTAGGTCTAAAGTGATTGCAGGGTTGCTCAGTGTTGTCATGCAGAGGCCACCTAGGATAGAAGAGATGTTGGTCTTACTGCCTGGTGGCCAGCACTTCCGCAGGGTCAGCGTTGCTCAAAATTGTCATCAGGTGGGGACTAGAGACAGTGATAAGGATTGTGTTTACAGAAGCAAGGATTGATTTCTGCATAATCAGGTAGGTTTGTTCATTGCCATGCCACCAGGTATCAGTGGTACATTTCAGGTGTAAAACCCTGCAAGGGTGAGATCCCCTATTTCTCTATTCCTTTGCTTTTCTTTTTGCTTTTGTCACAACAAATTAAACATCGCTTGTAAATCCAGTTTGAATACATGGCAGGCAGAGGCACATGCAACCAACTGTCTCATGTGTCTCATGGACGAGTCTTTCCACTAACTTGCTCAAAGATGCTGTTCCTACCCCCTCAGGCAGAGGAGAGTCTGCCCTGAATGCTGGTAAATACTGGCTCCAACTAAACTGACAGCCAAGCTTGGCAGTCTCTGCTGAAATATATCTTACCATGTTCTGTTATTCTTAATGCAGGGCTGAATTCAAGTCTGTTTTTACTTAAATACAGGATGACTAAGTGTTTACTAAAGCCAGCTGTTGTTCACAGGATAGCTTGATAATTTTATGATGGTTCTTTACTAATAAATCAAACGCACAGAGAGGAAGGTAACGACAAGCTAACATGTGTATGCTATCTCATAAAACAAACAAAATATTAACAACATAATATCACCAGCATGATTCCAGACATGCTCATGCCGCCTTTCCTAGGCCGTATGCTAGACAAGCTCCTACCAAGTCTACTCAACATCACCGAGTCTGCCTGAACAAAAACGCATCAGTGAGCGGATTACAGATGGAGCTGCTGTTGGAAAAAGACAGAGACGCTGCTCGCCCCTCTCTTCTTTGGGTCTTTGTCAGTAGGCTGCCTCTGTTTCCATCATGTTCAAGCCCCCTACGCTCCACTTCCAGGCCCTTCATAGCTCTGAACTCTCTACTGGACACCTGCGTCTCTGCCATCCCAGCTCCTCTCTGGCCTGCCCAGAGCACAACCTCCTCCTCTGACCTGCCCCATCCCTACACCCACCGGCTCCCACAAACTCACCAGCAAAGCCCGCATGGTCCCCTCCTCTCTCTCACCCTGCATTTCTAGAGCAGAGAGCCTCGCAGCTACTCAGGCCTCCAGGAACTGTCGGTTCATTAACATGCCAGGCCTGATTCAGTTTATATTTATAAATAGTTTAGATGAGTATGTAATTTCACCGAGACAGGTAGAGCTCTACCACAAACTGCAGTGATTGCAGCATTACAGAGATGACCTGTGGGTCTTGCTATGATGGGGCTTTTACAACAGATGTTTTCATTGATGTTTGGAAAAGTAAAAGAAGCCCTAAACTTAGATGCTCAAAGTAAGCCATCTTTTCTCATCGAAGTAATGGCACAGAGAAGAAAACTTCTCTTTTGTTAAAACTCCTTTATTGAAACCAGTCCAACCTGAGGTTCAAGAAGGGCCTGTAAAAACACATTTGTTGTCATTGTCCTTTGGCAGGGCAGCAACTTTTCCCTTAATGAGTTAATGATGCTCTGGAAACAGGGCTGCACATTTTATATCCTTACATAGTGGCAGATCAGCCAGTTCAGCTGACAGGGCTTTACAAGATGCTCCTCTGCTGCTACACAGCACTGACTGCTATTTTTATAGTTTCCTACGATGGCTCAAATGCTTTTTGTCTACCTGAGAAGTGGGGCTGCCTAAAAGTAACCAAGCTGAAAAGCACCTGGTTTGTTGACCAGACCAGTCTGAGTAATATTGTGTGCTGCTTTTTTCAAGGAATGCCATTTCCACTAATACCTTCACATGATGTTTTTCCTGCTCAAAAACTTCAGAAAAACAAAAACAAGAATTACTCTTTCAATGGATCAAAAAGTAAAGCCTGTATGTAACTTTTTTGGAGGAAAAAAAAAAGCAGAAAAGAATATGAAAGGCAACCTTTTGGTTCACTGTAGGTTAATTAAATATCAACACACTTTGTCAGAAGAAATTTCTTAGTTTTCTAATGCTGCTGGGCTTCTTTACCAAACAACAAATAGTTAAATTACCTTGCAAGAGCCTATTATAATCAATGGAGCCTTTCAAGAGATTTCTGTGGTCTTTTAAACTGAGCTGTAAAGAACACGACGAAACTCCCATTACAGTGACACAGGCATTTTTTCCCCTGAGGAAGTTTACACAAGCTACAGCTCCAGTTACGGTAACCCTACCTCAGATCCCAGTTTAGAAGTCCTCCCCTCCCCATCGATGTCAGCACAAATACCAGATTGGAACAGCACACTTAAGATGTTCTTTGAAATAAAGGACATACATATGTACATGCCCTGACCCAAGAAGGATTTTTACCAGTTTCACTAAGCTCTAGACCCCACTGCATATAACATGACTGCTGCAACTTGATTCTCCCAGATAATTATAAATCCAGAGAAGATCATAGTAAAATGTATGGCCAGGACCCAAGCCTCCTGAAGTCTCTGTCAATCTTTGTCACCCATGTCAGTGACCCCTAGTTATGTTTTACAACTGTAAAGAAATTACTAGAAAAAAATGAAGGTATTTCTCACTCAGTAGATTTTCTATCTTTTCCACTGAAACTTGCTCAGTTTGTTCTAACACTTTTCATTTTTAGAGCATATTGTTTGTTCTCTCTTAAATGTTAATGACATGAAAAAGCTAAGCATATAGCAGAACATATCTGTAGCTTCTAACGATGCCTGACAAGATGAAACACAAACCTGGGCTCACCTTTCAATTTTCTTCTTGAGCAGGCTATCAGCTGTTGTCTCCAAGAAAACGTGCATCCTAAAAAGATGTCCAGCTTCTTTTGTATAATCACCTGCCTTGCAAAGTTTACATTTTGTAACATGGTGTTTTACACTTGAATTACGAATTACTAATGTTTTAACCTTCTCAACCAGAGGCCCTACAAGCTTCTGTAATCCAGAAACACTTTGTTCCAGACCGTCTAGTCTTTTAACCTGCCACTCTGCATTTCTGTTTATATCAGAAAGAGATTTTTCCATTTTAAGGCAAAGCCTCTTCATTCCATTACTTCTCAGATTTTTGTTTCTTTCCATCCTTGATCCAGGTTCAGATGTTTCCAGCTTTACAATTTCAATGTCTTTTTCAATGCAACAGATTTCTTGGGAAACGCTGTTAAGCTTCTTAAGGACATTGTGTTGCAGAGTCAACAGCTTACCTATTTTCTGTTCAAGGGAGGCAAACTTCATATCCATAATGTTAAAACTTTCAGATGTGCTGACATCACTGCTTGCAACATGAAGAATTTGGGGAGGGTCCATTCCATTATTAGGCCCTTAGTTTTGCAAAGCGTTTGGATTTAATATTTTGGCAAAGTTGTTGACCACAGACATAGAAGAGCTCTGCCTGCTGGATGTGGTCATTTTGCTGGTTTGGGTAGGGGAAGGAAATGCACTGATTATCAGCTGCTTGAGGACAATATCAGTTGCAAAGGCTTCCCATCCAGACTACTCAGATATACAGCCAAGTTTGGCAACTCCAGCTGAACTAATTTATAAACTACTCTCATATATTTGACTAAAACTGAGGAGAGACACCCAACTTATTTAGGAAGAAAAACACCTTTGATCCATTCTTTTTTTATATATATTTATATATGTCTGTTTCCAAATGAAGTGAATATAGAGACACGCATCCTAAATGCACCCAGTTCAGTGACATCAGCCCTAGCAGGGACTGAACTATTTGCACTCCAATGGAATTTGACGGCAAAAAGGCTACGCGATACGCAAGAAGTGTCTAAGAGTAAAGACACTTTGGCAGTGGTGTTGTTGCTTTTCAAAAGCCTAGTATGTGACGTGATCCCAGCTCTGAAGAGAATAAGGGTCCTTACAGGGACCTTAAATGTGGCTGCTTGAAATTACTACATCTTAAGGTGAGCTTTTCAGATGAAAACCTCTGTCACTTGAAAAGCCTGTTATGCCAGGCAGGAAGTCAATAGAGTTGTTAAAAAACAAAGACATTAAAGAAAGTAAAAGAAGAAGGAGACACTGGAGTGCAGATATTTGAAAAAAACAGAGCCCCTTTCTCTGCCCTATACTTCAGCTACCACATAGCTAGCTCTTTCTACACAAGCAATTCTCTTCATAGCCAATATCTTAACTTACTTCTGTATTTATCAAGCCTGTAATAATTTGCCACAAATTAAGAGGCTCTCATGTTTTACTATGATCTGGTCATAAAAATTCCAAAATACAAAGTTGGATAGAGAGACTCAGTTCTTTGCTTTGTTTGCCTGCCAGTAAAGGTCTCAAAACCAGTGATTAGTATTCATAACTCAAACAGTTTAAGTTTTGCTTTTGCAAAAGGCATTCATTTCTTTCAGAAAGACAACATTGAACAAAAAAGAAACATCATGAGTGGGAACAGGATTCCCCTAGGCATAGGTCTGAATTGTTGAAGATGTTCGTGGATCCCCTTGATGGAGAAAGGCTGCCTCTGAAATACAAAGACAAGGCTACCTTGGACTTATGACTGTGATAGATTGAGCACACATAGGCCAGTCTCCACTTGTACCATACCTCTTATAGAAATCAACATGTAAAGTCAGCCAGCTGGTTGTAAAACAGCACTCAAAGGATCAAAAGCTTCTTTTGTGATCCCCAGGAAATATTTCTTTTGCCAACCTCAGTTTCTCCATCCTTTAAATGGGGAGCATGAGGGATAATTAGGTAAAGCACATAGCGAGTTCTGAATATCTGACACACTAAATAGCCTTTCAAAATTGCATCTGTTCACTAAATTAAGAATATGAAAGATCTTGTCTTTATTTTTAGGTGCTAAAGATATTTTTTAGAGTCAATCACAGCTGAAGTTTTCAAAAGTTTCCAAAGGCATTCTCCCACAGTCATTTATGAATCAACATGTAGTCAATGTTGATACACTAATTCAGGAGCTTGTTCTCCAGTTACCACAGGTTAATAAAGGAAAAAAGTTCCTAGGCACATTTGTCACCTTCTGAGAGCAGTGTGTTACTGCGAGTGAAAGGTGAACTGTGTCCATGCATGACCCTAAAACATGGATTGAAATCTTGTCTTTACATAACAGACATTACCAAGAGGTGACCACCATGTGTTATTGTGCATAGCATATTCACTGAGCAGAATGAGAAGGTTAAATGAATTTAAAATAGGAAACAGGATAGGGGAAAAAAAAGGCAGGGAGTTTAGGGATCCCTATTTCATGGAAAGAATAATACACAGGACAGCAGTTAAAAAAAGAAAAGAATACCAAAGCAAAGAACATCATGTCGGTTGCAGCAGAAAGTAGTTATGTTTGAGCCCCTTTGCCTTCTTCCGTTCATCTCTGTTAGAAACATAAACTAAACTCTCCTGACAGTTTCACATCTGCAGAAGCCCCTGTTAGACACAAACTTCCAGGAGAGGTGTTTGCATGTCTGTAAAATGGCCAGGTTTGAAGAGCCATTTATCTTGGATGAAACATCCCTGCAGGAGTTCACGGTGAGCTTCCCCCTGTCCCCCACACCCCCTGCACAAAAAAAAGGTTAAAGGTTTATTAGACCATGCCACCCATCCAGCTACGAGCCCTGCTCTGGGGGATTTCATAGGCCAAGCCTGTCAGCCACAAGGATTGTCTCCAAAAGGATCGTTATTTTGTAAAAGCAAGGAAATGATTAACAAAAAAAAAAAAGGACATACAGATAATAATGGTAAAATCATGTGTTATATTAGTGCACACAGCCACATATGTTAAACATTCAAATCTCTCCTAACAGTTGCCCAGGGAAATGTTATGTGAAATACCTCAAACCAATACTATAAACACTAATAAAAATTTTAAGCTCTGTGAGGTAAGATCCTATTATCAAGTATCATCTGTAAAGTCCTATTGATTTAATATTATGCCATGACATAGAAAAATGCCACACTTTCAAAATGTAGAAAGCAAACTATAAAAATGCTTCATTAAAACCTCATCAGTATGTGTTAGCAGTTCTGTCTGAAGCTGAAGTGAACTGGAAGAGAGAACTGCTGTGTAGTGGCTAGAAAAGAGGAATAAATTAAAAGAAAGCTAATATTGGCTTGCTTTCTGGGCCTAGAAAGCTCTTGCCAGTAATTTCTTCACAGCTGAGAATCTGTGATCCCTGCCTCTTGCTCTGTAAACTGGAAATAATCTTACATATTCAGATAACTTTCAAGAGTTCAGTGAGAATTAATTACTTAAGGGAAAGTCTGTATTTGAACATTTCTTTCTTTGTGGGATGGATTATTACCGCAGCTACTTTATGAAATTCAATAATATTATATGTAAATAATTTGAGATATTTTTAGTAGCCAAATACCTGAATGCACTTTTCCTAGTCACTGAAAGAATCTCTTAGAAACTGTACCTATCATTAACACACAAAATAAGTGCATATAACAGCTTTCTTATTTTCATTTTACAAATTTTAGTGATGACTGGTCATTGGATTTGCCCAGCACCAAAACTGCTAAAAAGTCTGTTGGAGATTAAGGGTACAAGCTGCAGCAATGGTTACCCTTCATGAACTGAAAATAAAGAAACACAACCAACCAAAATACTGTAAAAATAAACAATTCCACTAGTTTTGAAGATGACACAATTCCCCATATGCCTAACACTACATTTCAGAATATTAACACTAGGCCACTGCACCATGGCGGTGACAGTATCAGCCCAAAGGCTGACACTGAACCCTGGGAATTTTTGCACAGAGGTGTAACAAACACCTGCACTATATAGCATAGTGCTAATCAACTGTGAAAATGGATGGTATTTAATAATCTGCCAAAAGAGTTTTGTTTCTTCTATACAATTGCTGCTCCATTGATGTTGAATTCTTTTAAGTGCTTTTATATTAAAAATTAACCCGTATTTCTTTTTTTATTTCAAGTTCAGATGAAAAAGGCCTTAAAGCAGCATGTGTAATTTTCAAAGTATAGAGGCATCTAAAATTTGGAAGAAATAACAACAAAGTAACAATGGAGAAGTTGCTGTTACTGTGACTTTCACATTTTTAACATGTCTGCAGACATGAGTCTATAAGAGATGTGATAAAACTCCATACTTTGTATAGACATAGATAAAGGGGCTAAAAGTGGAGATTGGACAGACTAGAGAAGTAAAGCCTTCCTTTTGCTTTCTCTCTTGAAGTCAGACTGTGGTCAGTGTTATTTTCTCTTCACACACAAATATAGAAAGCTGCGTAGCATTAGGAAATTATCACAGACAAGTCTATTTGCTACCCCAGCTCTGTTAGCTGTCTGCTTTGGAAGAGCAAGCCTCTGGTTCAGAGATGCCCAGATCAAGCTTTTAGCACGTTCTGACCCAAAGCCAGTGAAGGACAGGAGGGCCTCAAGTTCCACAGCATTTGGATGTCAGTCTCATAGATATTAGAGAAAAACGCTTTAAAAAAATTATCATAGCCCAAAACATCCAAACAGTCTCTAATCAGTAAAAAGAGAAAGCCTGCTTTCTGTTTAAAAAAGTTGTTCACTTAGTTTTCACCAACTCTTGGCCCTCTGATCATACTGCTGAGATGTTAACTACCCCCTGTCTTACCTGATCTTCTTCTACTGGGCCCACGTTACACGGCGTTTTCCTCCCCCTGCCCACTTTTTTAGCCTGAGTCTTTTCAATTTACTTCAGTTCAGTTCTTTGTATTTCCTAACCATTAAAGGTCCAGACAGAGCACCTCATAAATTTATGGCTGCTGGCATCGAACATTATAAACAAGAGCGCAAGTGGAAATGTTTGAGTTGTAGAATCTTATTCCAACTTTCTTGAGCTGTAAGCCGTGCACTGGGATATGCTGCATTTCGTGGAAGACTGCTATCACTGAACCTTACCTGGAGAACGTGGTACCATGTTCATCAATCTCGAGCTGTTCTAGACAAGGTATCTCCAAAACTCCCAAGTCCAGTTTGATATTTTACTGCTGTGGAGGCTTGGGGTGTTTTTCCCCCAGAAATAACATGGGGCCACCTGCCATGCATGAGTTTGCAGCACGTGTATGACGCACGCTCCACATTCCAACTATTGCTCACTCACATGTGTAAGCAGCGTATGTTCTCCTGACATTGCTGTACCTACGTACTGGCAAGGATCAGGTTTGCATAGGGTATATATTATGGGCGGGGGGGAAGTGTGAACAATTAGCTCTGACTTACAAGTGGTAATTTAGACCACGCCACTGTGACCTCCACCTTTGGAAAAAAAGATGTTATAAAACAACCTCCCTTGATCACTCAGAGATGCATTATATGAAATCTTATGCAATCTAGGTAAGAGTGGATAGGGCATGATGTATTTCAAGTTATATCCATATTGAATCTTCCTGCGCAATTATTACTAAAATAGTGGGAAGATCTGGAGGAAAGTC